TGACCCCTATGCTATGATGAAAAATCCCTCAAAAATCCTGGTAGGAACCTTGCGCCTTGCAGTGTTATGGTTTTGAGTATCTATTCACTGTAAAGGGGGCCTGCAAGCCCTTTTCCGTAGAGCATAGTCGGCCATTTTAATTCTACGTAAAGCGTAGACAGACCGCTAATTCAACGTAGAGCGTAATTGGCGCATTTTGCGTAGAGCGTATTCGCCGCTTTTAATTCTACGTAATTCGGTGTGGCCCCTTGGAATTTATCGTAAAGCGTAATCGAGAAGTTTCCGAATTCAGCGTAGAGCGTTGTCGGGACCCCCCCCTTGCAGGCCCCCTGTAAAGCCCTCCTGGACAAACTCTCAAATCCAAGCTAGGTTCCTGAATCAATGTCCTGTGGCACAGAGCAGTGTTGGGTCAATGGGCACCTGACTGTTGTACTGGGTTCACGTTTCAACAGTTCTGTGACTTTGCACTCTGTACTGTTCACATTTCCGGATATAGTTAAACACATAGTTGTTCATACCAGGTCACATGCTTGACCCACCCCCCACTGAGGTTGGTCTTAGCCTCTACCAGGCTTCGGGAAGCGGCTTGAAAGAAGAGTAGTAGAAATTGGCCAACAAATAGACAGATAATATGCCAGGGGAGTCAGGCTGCAAGAGACTCTAAATTTTGCGTCTCCCGATTTTTACTTTTTTTCCAGCCACCTCCCAGAGCCTGGTAGAGGCTAGGATGGACTGACTACTTCATTTCCAATTTGGCACTGTCTTTGCAGCCACCTGACCAAAAGATCTGCTAGGAGGTTACTGACTACAGAGTACTGGCAGTGTTGGTAGGTTGGATCATGGGGTTTGAAACAGCCAAGTGCACAGCACTCACTCACTCATGTCCGCATGCTCTGAGGAGCGTGGCGCCCTGGCAAACAGTCCTCCTCCAGGCACTTCTGTTCTGTGCTGCTTCCCAGGCTGATATACTCTCCAAGCAGAGGTTTGGGTTTGCGGTTACTTTTGGCATGTTTTTAGGCTTTTTTTATTGGGGTTTCTCTTTTGCACAGGAATTTCTTTTTCACCTATAAACCCAACTTGGGTGGAAAAAAAAGAGAAACCCTGATTAAAAAAAAAAGCCTAAAAGTAAAAGCATGCCAAAAATAACCCCAAACCCAAACCTCTGCTTGGAGAGTAAGGCTGATATGTGTGACACAGTGACTAAAAATTTCATCTGAAATCTGGTAATGTACCAGGAAGTTCCATGCCTCTAAATCTAAGATGAGAGGGTATTAGCCTTCTTAGTTGTTTCCTGGTAAAACCATGGTCTAATTCCCCCCCAAGGATCACATAACAGGGGTGTTGACATACTCTTGGAGCAGAGGTTTGAGTTTTGCCTTGAAAACTTTTGGTTTATTTTTGGCTTAGCTTTTAGGGTTTTTTTTTTTATCAGGCTTTCTTTTTTCCCCTGGTGAACTGTTGGTGTAAAAAAAAGAAGCAAAACATGCCAAAAACTAATCTTCAAGCAGATCCCTATCGGTGGTAAAAGACAGTATCCATTAGCCATAGGATTTTAGCTCGCCACCTCTTTTGCCACCGATAGGGATCTGCTTGGAGATTAGCCAAAAATAAGCCAAAACCCAGAGTAGTGTTGAGTCTTGACAGTCTTCAAAGCAAGGACAGGGAGGTGTGCATGACAGACAGCATGCAGACAGGCAAGTTACGGTCTGTGAACGGCTCCCGGATACGAGACCACATCAGTGTCTTCAAGTTACCTTTACAGTTTACAGGTGGCCATTTTTCTGTCTGCCACACCACCAATTTAGTCTCTACCAGACTAACTTCGCTGGCTATATATAGGAGAATATTTGCGGGGGGAGTTCAGCCACCTTGGGGTTTGACTATGCCATGCGGGGAACGAAACTACCTCCCCGCGGCCGGACTCCCTTGGCCAATTTGATTCTCTTTTTTGCCAAATTCTACGATCCGTATTCCCGTAGAAATAAGCCTGGTGGAGGCTAGCACCAATTAAACAATACACACATAACATACATCAAAACAGGTTTTTTAATGTAACCTGAGTGTATTCTGCTGGTAAAATAAATAAATGAAAATGAAATGAAAAACGAACGTTCATAGAGTTTTACTAAGCAGTAATGTTCACCTGTTCCCAAACCATGGTGCTATATGAACTGTCTATTTACTGTTTCTAGATTCTGAGGTACTTCAAATTACCATCTACACATGTCCTTTCATGGTACACCGTGCCAGGTGCAGTGAAACATAACAACTGTGTGCAGTCCTTTTGAACTTGATACTATCAAACTAACCGTGAAGCCATGAGAACAGGTATAAGGTGACGTGAAGTAAAAAGGAAAAGGAAAGGTGACTCCAGGTGTTCCCAGAATCACAGGTGAATGTCCTCCCTGGCATGTTGGAATGACTTTTAATAAAAGTTTTATACCCTGAAGCATATTTCCTGCTTAAAGTATGCAAGGGATGGGTGGTGATATTTCATATTTACGTTGCAACACACAGAGTATGAAATGGCTTTTATTCAGTGTTGCAAAATCTCAGACACACACCAAAGTATCGTAGACTGGAACTCATTGCCACCAAGCACAGTTGGGGCATCATCACTAGAAAGCTTTAAACAACTCCTGCAATCAAATGTGCAAAGATTGAGTGTAACAAGCCGTTCTGTGTGATATAGCTAGCTGCCGCCAGGCCGCGTGCCTGCGAAGCTGGTGTGTTACGCCGAAGGGCGGCTATACCGGCTATACCGAAGTCAAAACGTCCATGACAAATCATTTTAATGTTTTCCATTCTTTACCACTTTTATTACTCCACATTTCCATGACAATAGTACTGCAAACCAGACCCATTTCTCTGCTTTTCAGTCCACTTTAGAAGGTGTATAACAGGTTTTTGAAGCCCGTCCCAGATATTTTCACCCACAAAAATTGTTGGCGTGAAAAACATGATGAGTTGAATGAACAATTGTCCTGACAGGTGTCAGACCAATTTTTAAAAGTAAATTGATTGATTGGCCCTATAGGCTATAGCCCAACAAAATGTAGAAAAGTGTACTCCTAGGCCAGCTTTAGCCCATGTTATTGAATATTCAGTTATTTGGCCAATTTCTACTATTCGCCAGCAACACATTGCTGGGGGCCTGCAAGGGGGGGGGGGTTGCGACAACGCTCTGCCCTGAATTCGGAAACTTCTTGATTACGCTTTACGATAAATTCCAAGTGGCCACAACGCATTATGTAGAATTAAAACGGCGACTACGCTCTACGCAAAATGCGCCGAGCGGTCTGTCTACGCTCTACGTAGAATTAAAACGGCCGATTACGCTCTACGGAAAAGGGCTTGCGGGCCCCCATTGGTGTCTGGTAGAGACATGTTTTTCTGTAAATGACATGTTTTTCTTGAATTCTGCTGCCTTTTTGCTTCCTGCACCCCAGGGCATACTAGTACTTTGAATGAAACTTTCATTTTTCTACTGATCTGTTCCTTCACCCCAGGGCATTTGGTTTTTTCATTTTTCTACCCACCTGTTCCTTACCCTAGATAACTGGTTGAAAGACAGGGTCATCCGCAGTACACTATCAATGCAATAAAATCTACTACAGACCCTTTATAAAGCTTTATCAGCTTATCATCACCAGAATACCGTATCAAAACACAAAAAGTCCCAATGCTACGATACTTACTTAGTAGTACTACTTGGATACCTGGATACTGTACACAATGTATTTGTGGGTGGACATACTATAGAAAGACAACTCTAAAGCCAGAGCAAAATTTGAGTACAGTAGAGCAACGAGGTCTACTAGAGTAGAATCTTCGGCCATGCAGGAATAGTTCAACTGTGGGCTTCAAACCAAAACCGTCCCAAGTTGTCACGCCAAAAAACTAGTAGTGTATCTCCAAGCAGAGGTTAGGGTTTGGGGTTATTTTTGGCGTGTTTTAGACTTATTTTATCGGGGGGTTTTTTTTGCAATGGAAGTTTGTGAAAGAAAAATTCCAGTGCAAAAAAGAAGCCCTGATAAAAAAGCATTACAAACACGCTAATAATACCCCAAAACTCAAACCTTTGCTTGGAGACTATATCCCATATAAGGGGTCCTGTGCGATTTATCAAACCATCATTCATAACAACAGACTCCAAATTGTGCGCGTTCTAGGAGTCTTTCCCTGGACTACTTGTAGCTTTGCCCCCCTCGAGTGTCCTATGTCCTTCCAAGGAGGTTCAAAACCTCCTTGGTCCTTTCCAGCCTCTCCCAGGCTTCGGGAGGCAGCTGGAAAGAGTAGAAAATTTTGCGGGTGCGGCAAACTGTACTCTCTGGCGGACCAAATCCCCCGGTTTCTACTCTTTCTAGTCGCCTCCCGAAGCCTGGTAGAGGCCCAAATATACACTATGACTATTGCTAGGCAGTATAACTACCACTCTATCATATATATATATTGTAGTATGACTGCAGTACCAGCCCCGAAATCTGTTTAGAGATCTTAAGAGACTGTCTTGATCTCGTAAGAACGGATGAAGAGCCCACTCCGTTACGCTTGAGCTCTTTCAGTCTTTGACAAGTTTGTCCAACACGGCGTAACGTTGGTACTAGCACACACGCCGATGGCCCACACACAAGCTGCGAACAACCGGCTTCTGTAAAGTTATTGTATCGTGCCACTGGTGTTTTAAACTGTTCGGATGGCGAGGGTTAGCGGAAAAAGATGACTCTACTCTACAATTTAACAAACACACGTGTGTCTAGTGTAGCCTAGTAGCAGGCTTATAGATCTGTGGGTTTCGGCTGTTTTCTGATTAGCCCAGTTCTAGAAAAACGGGGGTAATTCAACCAGGCCGGCTATGTTGTCTATGTGTAATCAGAAAATAGCACATATAAAAGCTCCCAATTTAAGACCATGAAGACCCCCGAAACCCCAGTTTTTGGCGTGCTATGGAGGCTAGTTTTCCCAGGCCAGTTCCTACCTGATTGAATGGTCGAACTCTCACGGCCACTTTCACACTGTCGCTGTCCGCCATGGTGGTACCAAATAGCGCAGCCTTTCCTTCTAAGACTGGATAAAAACCTCCGTTACGTTCCACATTCCTCGGCAGACATCTTTCCACGATATTTCAGTTTCCAAGAAGCGGTCCCACACACACATACGACCTGTCGGCATCAGTTCTTACTCAGGACTGTATAGCGGTGTCCCAGAAAACCTGACCGCCTAGGGGGTCCGCATCCACCAATCAGCGCGGCCGTGACAAACGCGTCCAATCAGACGGCTCGTTACGGCTAAGTTCGGTTCGGAGGTGTGTTTTCGGAGTGACGTAGCGGGCTGTCATGGCGGCGCCCTGCCTTAGTTACGCCTTAGTTACGCCGTGGAAACAGAATGACTTGATGTCACGACGGAGTTTACCTGGGTCTAACACAGAATAAAGGCGACCTGCTCAGTACGTGACGCTTCGGGCTGCCGGTCTTTGGTTTGAAGTTGTTTTTTCTGACTGGTTGATGGATGGTTATTTAATCACTATTTAATCGTTACTTTGAGTTTATCCCAAAAGGAAATGGCTTATTTGTAGAAGCTTATTTAATAGAAGAAACATGTGATGTCATTGCCATCTTATGTAAGGTGGGTGCTACGTCACATTTTATGTAGCACTAGCTAAACTTTGCATCGTACTACTATGAATTATTTTTTCAACCGAAGTCTGTTGAACGCATAAATTCACATATTTGACCAGTCGACCTCAACTTGCTTGCTACTTTCTGCCGCTACACGAAGTTTCAAAAGTATATTTTTTTATCCTCCTTCCCTTTCGTCAGGTCCTCATGTGTTGACATTTAATACCGGGTATGGATAACTTTTGTAATTGTAACAGTCAAGGCAAATTTTCCAAACCGCCAAATTGAGTTATGGGATTATATTATAGTAAGTAAGTAATATTATGATGTGAAACTAACACATCCCCCCCCCCCATTGCTGAGAAACTGTGACGGCTTTGGAGAAGAATGACAAAATGTAGCCTCCTTTGCAGGCCCCGCGGCGGTGGGGAAGAGTTTTTAACGCGTTATTTTAATGATATGAATCTTTATTGCATGTTCTTGCCCAGATGGGCTAAATGCACAAGAAGATATCCAGTATGTGGAAGCAGGCTCCCTGGGCGGAATGGAACATTCTCTCGGCGGCTATGTAGGATGGCCGGCTATATTAAAATAACGCGTTAAAAACTCTTCCCCACCGCCGCGGGGCCTGCACAGGAGGCTACATAGCATCCCGACTGGGTCCAAGGAGTCAGCAAAAGAATGGAGCTGTGGTCAAGCTAAGGTAGACAAGGTTGTGAGACAGAGAGGGCCTATTTACAACGATTGAAAGCGGCTTGGTGTAGTTATAAATGCCAGGAATATCGTTTCATGGACTTTGATAGGGTACTTCCCATCCTGCCTGGTACTGTTATAATTACAGCGTTATAAGTTTCGCGGTGCCGCTAACTAGCGCCGCCCAGCGGTCTTGGCCATATCGACAGGCCCAACTTCTATGAGACCTGAGCATGAGTTCAATCTCACACCAATGTATAACGTTACTAGTAAAATAAAACAGCAAATGATCTGAATCCACTATTTTTCATTATATTTTTGCCCCCATAGGTTTTAACACGTTTTGGGTGGTACATTCAGTTAACCTAGCCTCTACCAGGCTTGAGGAGGCGGCTGGAAAGAGTAGAAATCGGCCAAA